GCTATCTCCTTAATTACGGCAATTGCCTCGATCGTCGTCATTTCGTCCTTGTCCACAATTTATGCTAAAAAATAAACAAAAAACAATTGCTTTGAATATTCAAACCGAGGGGCGCATCAACACACCCTGCCTGCAACAGAAAATGCCAAGATATTTGCCCATTTTCTTCCTTTTTGTCTTCCTTTGTCCCGGGATGCGTTTAGCCACAGATTTATTGCCTCAACTAACTTCCTACCCCCGAGTGCGATTCCATATCGCTGATATTTCAATATATTTGTTGGCAGTTATGGCATTTTATGTTGAAAAATCTTCAATAATGTGTTTGTCCAACTCCACTGACCCCTAACGAATGCCTTTTTTCTCAGCCTGGGCTATCAATGACCACACCAAATGCTAATAGGATCCTCATTTTGTTGGCACAGCACATGCTAAAGGACACGCGTTAATCTTGCCCAACAATAGGGACTCGAGCGTGAAGTCGTAGCTTATCTTGAAGGAGGGATGAGCCAGGTAGCTGGCTGGACAGCCAAACAATGACCAATGGTCAGCGCGTGTTCCTTAGCTGACTGATTGTGCGCACGCGTCCATTCAAGATGAAGTGGTCAAGTAGAGAAACAGGTTTCCCAACTGACCATCCCTTTGTCCAAGAAAGTGTTAAGTGCTGTGGTCATTTGCCCGTCGCGTGTCACATGTCGCGTTATGAGCCAATGGCAAGTTATTAGCTAGCTAGCGCCATGTTGCTTGACATTCTCTTATCTGTACTGGGAATTTATAACGGTTATTTTGATCTTATCCTTGACGAAGCAACAACACATAAGACAGTATTTTTTCTCAATTTATTTCCTTGCTGTTGAGCAACACGAAAAATAAAAAGCTGCAGTTTCATTCACTTTTGCGCATCTTTCGAAAACAAAAGGGTTGCAGGGTCGAGAAGGACGACTACTTCCTTTCTCAAACCGGACCGGACCTCATGGCCACGAATCAAAATGAAAATCACAAACTGACAAACCGGTTTGGACATCAGCATTAAATTTCGGAAAGCCCGCGAAGAAAATTTCAACAGCAACGCAAAAAAAAAGGATGAAACCCTTTTCAGAATATAGTTTTGCCGTTGGTCCATTCCGGGATCTGGTCAATATGAAAATACAAAGCGGCGGCAGCATCGCGAGTATAATGTGTCATGGCAGTTACAGTTGCGCGCCCTAACGGGGTAGCAGCCTGTTCTGGTCGGGCATGAGATGCCAGCGGACAGGACAATGGCGACCAGTCGTGGCAGGAGGGAGTTGAAAGGGTTCCCTTGCGGTCATGCATTCAAATTATCTTCTTATTTTGTCTACAATTGGGAATTTATTTATGCTAACATGTTTCACAATGGGCGGCTCTGAATGGCCCGGCCCCTTGTCCGAGGTCAGCCATTTTGTTGAACCCGAACATGTTTACGAATTAACGGACATTTCTCAAGAATTTCGCAGGCAAGCTTGTGAGGCGGAAACTAAAGTTTCAGTCTTAGAAACACTCTTCAGAGCCAAACCTGATTTGGTTAGAGAAAATAAGAAATTATTCTATTCTTACCAATCATCATTAACAGGTCGCGTGCTGGACCTCAATCCCATTGACCCCGGAACTGACCATTGCCAATGCGCCTGCGCAACCCTTTTAAATGAGAAAAGAAACCTGTTTCAACTCTTGACCAACGAAAGTTATCTAAATGACTCAAACGCGTGTCCACTACTGATGGTCAGCTTAAGCGGTCGACAAACTGCCCCTGGGAATTTCATAAGAAACTCGGGGATGACTTCGCACATTAGCATTGTCGTTCTAAATGACTTAATTAAGCCATCTTCTATGATTTTCCCCTTGCAAATTTTCTTAGTGTGTGGACAAAACGTTGGAAAACAAAGGTGCCATTAGCATTCTTGTTGATGCCAAGATTTATGCAAACAAAAACCTATCCAATAATTCATCGAGGGTCATTGAAGTTTGCACAAACAAAATAGCCATAAATGCCAACAAATATATTGAAATATCAGCGATATGGAATCGCACTCGGGGGTAGGAAGTTAGTTGAGGCAATAAATCTGTGGCTAAACGCATCCCGGGACAAAGGAAGACAAAAAGGAAGAAAATGGGCAAATATCTTGGCATTTTCTGTTGCAGGCAGGGTGTGTTGATGCGCCCCTCGGTTTGAATATTCAAAGCAATTGTTTTTTGTTTATTTTTTAGCATAAATTGTGGACAAGGACGAAATGACGACGATCGAGGCAATTGCCGTAATTAGGGAGATAGCTGAGTAGTTTCCCAAAGATTTTCTCACAATTTTCAACTGCCGATGGCATGGCTGATAATGCTTGAATCTCCACTTATCACTCATATAGTCTGCTACACGTATCTGTACTCTTCCATTGAAGAAACTCGACCAGCAATTAAATTCCCATAAAACTGAATTCTTTGTGTGGGCTTGAAGCGTTTCAGATGTGCCTTCAACTGGAGCAATGAGCTAATTAAAACATGTCAGTTCATTCACATTTTCATGTTAATTCAGTTCGTAGTACATATTGGAATTATAATTGTCGCGTCACTGCCAAAGTGATTGTTATTCTGTGCGTTCCTTACAGACGGACTGACGGACTGACTGACTGACTTGCTTGCAATCAAAGCCAATGCTCCCATTCCCAATTTCCCATTTCCACTCCCATTGCAACAAAATCGAACAAAGGCCCAACATACATACATATATAAGAGTACATAAAAGTTTTTCAATTTAAAACATTTGTAACTGACTGCGAAATATGCAAATACGACAAATGTGCGACTCTGCGCAAAAGCAAAAGCATAAACGTAGTCCTCGGCCACATTGTGCTTTTGTACTTTTGTGCGCATTTTCATGCAGATTTCTCAGAACGTTTCGGTTGCCATTTTGTCGAGGTACCTTTTCTGTAATCAATACATGCGAGTGTGTAGAGCTCTGTCTGGAATAGTGTGGCATCGTAGCTTCTCTTATCCATGTCACTCAATTATGGCAACAATTGGTAAATCCACTTCAATCTCAATTCGCCAACCAAGTGACAAACCAGGAACTACAAACCAGCTACGGGGCTTCATAGGAAAATCAATCGCTGTTCGAACCTCGGATCGCCCCTTCCCAATCGATGCTGTACGGATTTCCTTTCCTTTTGGCATTTGCATAAATTTCCACATTGAGCGCGTGCGCGTGCGCCGTTGCCAGTTGCCGTTTGTCGTGTTTCAGGACCCGCCATCGCAATAGGTAGGCAGGTCCATTAGCATAACACTGACTGATGCTCCTGCCTCAGCAGGAAGCCTCTCACCCGCTCTTGCCGGAGGGTTTTCGGTCTGTGCCAATATTATGCAAATAATCCGGCGTGCCAATATTTTACAACAATAATTTATGCAAATTATATCAAACAGGATTTACTGCGGCTGCGCAGCGGAAGTTACATGTGGAAGCCTTTGACAGTCGAAGCAGAGACCGTTTTATTTCTAGGGTTCATGGTATGTGTCTCGTTTTCGCAATGTTTGCCGTTTTTTATATGCAAATTTTTTTATGTGAGCTCATGAGCATTTTTGGCATTTTTAATTGAGTTTTTTGGACGATTGTAATGCAGATTTTTTTGTCTGATTGTAATTATAATTTTGTGAACTTTTGCAATGGCGCGAAAATATAAATATCTTTTTTTGCATTTCAATGGAAACTCGAGCAGCTGCTGCTGCTAAAGCGCGCCAATTGCTGACTCCTTTGAATTTGATTTGATTTTCGAGTTGATCTGAATTGGTGCAAAATCTTTGCATATATTATTGCTAAGATGCGGGTTCTACATTTTGTTAGAATACTTTACAATTTGTGAAAATTTAAATTTGTATTCGATGAGGATTTCAAATAGTGTGAGAAAGTTTTTATCTTTTGTAAGAGACTGGAACATTTCTGGAATGTTCTCAAACATTTATTTGCAAATTTAGTACTACAATTGATTATTACTATTAAAGCTGTATAAGCTAAATAGGTATTCTTATGTTATTAACATTAGTTGAGAATCATTCTAAATTAAATCTATCTTATTTTTTGTAATATGTCTAAAAGGAATATTGATATCAAAAATATATTTATATATGTCTGAAAAGTATATTTATAAATTTTTAATGATAATTTAACCTTTTCCAGCCCCAGAAGTGAAAGAAAATAGCTTTATATTCTATTATATTTTCTATTTCTATTATATTCTTATTTGCAGAACCATACCCCGCAGCCCCTTCGAAGAATTCCTTTACATCTCTTCATGAAAATCAACCCATAACTCTCACAGGGGAAATTCCTCAACATTCGTTGGTGCTCTCAGGCCAGTTTTTGTCCAAAAAACTTGGTTTTCATCACAAATTTACATGAACGCACGCATTTTATTGGTCGGCTCGAAAAACAATCCCAAAAAACAGAAGGGAACAGACAGCCTGCAAGCATGTTACGGAAACGCTCACACTTTTCCGCATTTTCCAAAATCTAACGCTAAAAAACTAAGGGTTGAACACGCCGATTCGGAAATCAACACCACCCCTTGCAGGCGCTTCGTTTTTTAAGAGCAACACAGCAACGTGCAATGACGTGAAGAGAAAGAGAGAGAGAGAGAGAGAGAGGAGAGTAAGGCAGATCGGTTTTTTAAGAGCGACTGCTTTTTTAAAGGGGAGAGGGTTGAAGCTGCTGTGCTGTGCTGTGCCTTGGTTTGCCTTTGAGGGTCTATTGCGTAATTTTTGCTATATTAGCTCGAGTCTGCGGAAGAGTTGAAACAGTTTGCGCTGCGCAGCCGAACTTTCAAGATCACTAGACAAGAATACAAGACGTTCGTGTACAGCGTGTGTGTGCATGTGTGTGTGACAAAGTGCTGTGTATTTGTGACACAAGACGTTCGAAAAATCTGCAGAAATTGCAATTTCTAAAAACTGTTAACGGTGCCTTGCTTTGTGTGAAACATCTAAAAAACAAAAGTGCCAAAATGTCAACACAAATGGAATTCATCATGCAGCTTTATATGATGAACTTACTGCAACAACAACAGCAGCAGCAGCAACAACAACAACAACAGCAATTAAATACTGCGCCAACCGCCGGCTATGCCTATACACAAAAAGAGGATATCAGCAGCAGCACTTGTCTGCAACAGCAATTCCAACAGCACCAACAGCAAGTGCAGCAGCAGCAACAACACAAATCAAGAACGCAAAAACGCATAAATTCGCAAAACACCAACTGTAGTAGTAGCCGTAGTTGTAGTCCCAATAGTAATTTGAATCCTTTACAACAAACTACAACAGCAACACCTCTAACACCACTAACAACAGGGACAACAACACCAAATAATTTTACTAACAATTTTCCGCAAATATTGCTTAATTCATTGCCACCATTGACGCAGTACATGATGCAGCAGCAGCAACAACAACAACAGTTGCAACAACAATTGCTGGCCGCCTCCTCACCTCTGCTACTAACACCCACTACCCCAAACTCTGCACAACAACAGCAACAGCAATTGTTGTCGCTGGCTGCCGATTTGGTGGCAACACGCAATGTGTCCAACACAAATCTCAGTCTCAATGCCAACACATTAGGTCTGAATGTTGAACAACTTACCACAAATAATTTTTTGCAATCCTCCACAGTGACATCGACGCCAAACGAGAAGACACCACAACATGTTGCTGATACAGCAGCAGCAGCAACATCGGCAACTGCCGATGCAGCGCATGTTGCTGGCAACATTTCGGCGTTCGCTGCACTTCGACGGGACATTAAATGCGAACAATCCATACAACAGGACTTTGATGATGAGGATGATAAGCCGCTCTCAAGTCTGCATAGTTGTAGTTCGTCGGGCGTGGCCAGCACCAATGCCAGTTCCGAGAAGTTGCTGCTGTGTAGTGTGGGTGTACAGGCCTTGGAGAGCACCACCGACAGCTACGACTCGCCTAGCATGGTGAGTTAAAAAATCAAAAATATCTAACTTATGAAAGTATTTTGAAAAAAAAAATCGCGTTATAGTCCATTATTCATTTAAAATGTTTGGAAATTACACTTTTGAATATATTTCATATTTTCGATAGAAAAAAAGGGGGAAGAGAAATTTTAAAACACTTTTTTTTTAATTTTGTTTTTAAGGTATTTTGTTTACTAAATCTAGTTTAGCTTATGATCTTAAAAAATTCTTGCATTATTTAAAGTATTTATGAAAAGAAGTTTTAAAGAGTTTACTTTTTAATTGTTGTTTTTTTAAAACTAATTGTGATAATTGATTGTTTCAATCCAGGCTGATGATGATGCTGATTTAGTTACAGCTTAATCGTATTTGAGGAACTCTTCCATATTAGCCACAAACTATATATTTCTTTTTTTCGACTTAGTCAGCCAAAAGCGATTTAAATAATTTTATTTCTTTTGCTTGACTTGAGCGCTTGAAAGCTCCCACGATGCCTCGTTGTAATGTAATTCGAGCGCGGTACAAGTGTTCAAGCGAGTCCTACAAATGACAACAAGCAAACATACAGAGTTATAGAATGGCACAAGAAATCGTGCATATAAAGCCAAATGTTTACAAATCCAACTGTCCACAGCAGCAACGACAACTCAAAACTTTGTCGCGTTTTCCGGCTTAAAGTAAACAAAATCTGGATTCTTACGAAAACAAACAGCTGTGTCGGCAATGCGTGGGTTCCAGCAGCTGTTGTTATTATTGCAGTTTGTAAATACGACGAGCGACAAGTTCAAAGGGTTTTGTGGGGCAGGGTGAAGGGACATCTAGGCACCAAGCAGTCTGTCTCAAGCTGAAGAAGCTTCACAGAGGGCGTAATTACTTTGAAATCTCACAAATAAATGAGATGTAATCTAAAAAATTATTTCAAAATGGGATTAGATTATTATTAGAAGTATTGCATAAAATTCAAATGTTTTCAATTTTGAATTCAAGAAGAAAGAAGAATTTACACAAATTTGATTAGAAATGAATACCTAAAAATAAATAAATGAGATGCTATCTTTCAAAATATATATCTTTTAAATTAAGATAATGTTGATGGCAAAGTACTTCTTATAATAATTGAACTCCTCGAATATCAATAAATATTTCGATTTTGAATTTAAGAAGAAAGAAGAATTTCCGCAAATTTGGTTAGAAATGAATACCTAAAAATACATCATTGCACTGGTATTAAATGTACATTTATCATTTATTTAAAAGCTATTATATCCAAACGTTAAATTTAGATAAAGTGCTTAACGTTAAAAATGTTAGGAAAGGATACACAAATTATGCAACCAGAATAATTATTTTGACGCTAAAACTTGCAATTCCCATGATTTTCAAATAGAATTCATTTTTTTCCAATAGTATATGTATTTTTGACTTCCTATTGCACCATTTTCCAACAATTATTGGCGTATTTACATCAAGCTAGTGCAAATGCAGCTGAAACTGTGATTAGAAAATATACTACATATCTTTATTTACTTGATATTGCCAATATTTTATATCCTTATCATTTAAGAACAATACCAAAGACTTAGCGATAATCGCTCTATTCCGGTCTTCTCTTCCAGTACACACCCGTCAAGCAACCAGCAGACTCCTCGTATAATGGCACTAGTGGTATCCCGCTCAGCGATCAGATCGAAGAGCCAACTCAGCTCAGTACGCCCCTTTCTCTTGCCAATACTCTGCTCACACCACCCTCCAGTGATCAGCAGAAGAGTGTTAGTCTCTCGACTGCCAGCAGCTTGGATGCATTTCTTCAGAACGAGGAGAATCTGAAGAATTTGCGAAAAGTCTCCTCATATTTGGAGTGCGAGAACACGCTGTGCCGTCAGGAGACCTTACGCGAGCATTTCCACTGCTATGATGAGCCATGTCAGGGCAAGATTCTTAGCAAAAAGGACGATATCATTCGTCACTTGAAGTGGCATAAGAAACGCAAAGAGAGCTTGAAGCTGGGCTTTGCACGTTTCTCATCATCGGATGATTGTGCGCCGGCCTATGGAGCCGGTTGTGCCTATAATTGGAAGCAAACCCACTACCACTGCGTTTACGAGCACTGTCCGAAGGTCTATGTGAGCACCAGTGATGTGCAGATGCATGCGAATTTCCATCGCAAGGACTCGGAGATTGTCAACGAGGGCTTTCGACGTTTCCGTGCACATGAGAACTGTCGTATTGAGGACTGTCCCTTCTACGGCAAGAAGATATCGCACTATCATTGCTGTCGCGAGGGCTGCAATCACACATTTAAGAACAAGGCCGATATGGGTGAGTAGAATATCTTTTTTAGAGTGGAAAAAAGCAAACTTATATTTACATATCTTATGTAAATCTTTATAGACAAACATAAGACATATCATTTGAAGGACTACCAATTGACACAAGATGGTTTCAAGAAAATTCTCAAAACGGAAGTGTGTCCCTTCGAGGCCTGCAAGTTCTCCACCGTTTGCAATCATATTCATTGTGTGCGTGAGAACTGCAACTACATTCTGCACTCGAGCAGTCAGATGATCAGCCATAAACGCAAGCACGATCGTCAGGATGGGGAGCAGGCCTACCAGCAGTTCAAGGGAAAGAGGGACGAACTGGATGAATCTTCTGTGGAGGCCACACCGCAGTCAACAGCTCCAGCAGCGGTCGTTAGCAGTCACTCAGCGACAAGCAGCACTTCCACGCCCCTTTCTTCCCTTTCTGCGGAACACTTTTTGGCGCGCAAGCGCGGACGACCGCCCAAGAAAATTGTAAGTATACACGACTCTTAAGCAAATATGTGCATATTATTATTCCAATTAAATGAAACGAGTTAGCTGCGATGGAACCAAAATACATAAAAAAAAGTATAGCTATAGTCTAGCGCTTCAGACTTGGTAGCTTCTTTGTTTACACTTGGCATTCGTGTCGGTCCAATAAAAATTGGAAGCGGACGTATTTTCTTTAGACTAATTTGATACTTATAGACCAGCTATTTTATCGAGCTCTAGAACTTTGTTCGACATTACTTAAAACGTTAAAATTAAAAGTTTCAATAGTATATATATACATATCGTATTTGTTTCCTACCATAACTAGCATGTTGTGTATAATTTCTAACAATATAATCCTTAAGTCAGTTAAGTAAGTTAATTGAATTTATTTTGTTCCAGCAACTGCCCACCGACGTACAGCCCGACAGCAAACGGATCAAGATGGAGGCAACCAATGACAATGGCAACAATTCATCGCTTGGATCAAGTGGCAGTAACAGTTCCGCCAACAACAACTCCTTGGCCGGTTTATTGCCTTCCTTTATGCCCAATTTCAATGCCGCAGCCGCCGCTGCTGCTGCGGCACAAAGCACGGCAGCAGATGCAACAGCGCCAAATTTCCAGCTAACTCATCTGATGGCCTTGTTCCAGCTACAGAATCCACTTTTCTATCAAAACTTGTATCCAGGCGCTGGCAATGTGGCAAACATGCTGGCCTCGGCTGGCACAATGCCACAGAATACCAATATGTTTGGCAATTTGGCAGCTTTTAGTGCAGCTTCTGCGGCTGCGGCGGCGGCTGCGTCAGCGACAGGGGCGGGGGTGGGGATGGGGCTCCCACCCAAGTCTACGGAATTTAGTATTAAGCCCGAGTTTAAGGAGTAAGCAATGCGAGCGTCAGGATCTCAACATAGAGGACTTTCTAAAGTAAAGGATACACAGATTCGTATATTGTAGTTAACCGACTGAGCAGATCTAGAAACTAATAGAGCTTTAAGCAGATTTTTGGGGTACCTGTTGATGCGTAGCATGACGTTCGCCTAGCTTAGTATTTATTTTCTCCAAAAGCTACTGCCGCCACATTTTTCAGCTAAAGCTGATCACAAAATGTTGCTGAATTAGCTTTTGAAATTTTTATTTTAGGTCTCAGGTAGTGCCAATAATTTTTTGTTTTTTTTTTTTTTTGAAATTTCAGCTTTTAACTTTCCGCGTGCCACAAATTTTGTAATAAAATAAATTTGGAATTTAGTTTAACTAAAACTGTGATGTCTTTTGCATTTTAAGCCGATTCTGCATTTTCGCAAATAAAATGTATAATTTTAAATATAAATTGTTTGTAAATTTGTTAGAATTAAGCAAAATATAGAAGCTTTTTGTTAGATATAAAACGATATTTTAGTTTTCCATTTAGTTGTGATGCTCGACAAACCTGTTGATAGGAAATAAAATTAAGAATACAATTTTATTCATGTTGTTTAAATTTTAAAAATGTAAATTTTGATTAAATAATGAACGATGCGTTAAAATAATAATTTATGCATATGATCAACAGAAAAACTTCAACAAATCCAACTCAGTTCCATTTTTAGGCGAAATAGTGCGCCATAATAATGAATGTGTGGTCTTAAGAATGCGAAATGTTAAAAGATTTAGGGGACTATGACCCCATACTCCCCTCCCCACCTGGGTACGCCCCTGGCTGTATTCACGTACATTTTAATGCAATAATTCAGTTACAAACACCTTTCGGTTAACTGTTAAATAATATATGTATATACTCGTACTCTACAGGGGCTGTCACGCTTCCTTCTGGATAAAAATAGAAACAAAAGCAACAAGTCAAATGTTTTCAAGATATGCAATATTGACCAAAATTGTTTATTTTAGTTCTGCCGTGTTCTCTGCCCCACATAATATTATTCGTTTTACCTTCTAAAAATAATTTGGCTTGCAATGAAAATATTCAAAACAATTATATAATTAAAAAGCATTGTGAGTTTTTCAAAGTTTTATAAAGCCTTTTGAAACTCCATATTTAAGACGAAATAAAAATACAGTCAGCATCACCGATTAATTATTTGCATTTATTATCATTTTTTTTCTTTCCATTTCTAAACACAAGTCAGCTACAAAACTTCTGGGTCTACATAAAACAGCCCAGGTAAGCAATTGTACTTAACAAAGAAGCTTTTATGCAACTCATTAGCAAAGTATGTTTGTTTTTTACTCAATATTTATTTATATGTTTATTTAAACAATCAACTAATAATTCAAGATTCATTATTCAAAGATTCTTTATATTTTTATTAACTACTACAATGTACATGCATATTACCGGAATATTTTGAAATTTTGTCGACGTTTGAAAAGTCTGCAGAACCAAGCAAAAATATACAAATTTATTCAAATTACATTTTATATAATTAAAAATTAATGCACTTAAATTAAGCGAACGTAAAAATCAACAATACAACACTAATTAAATTCGATACAAATTAAGTCAATAAGTAGGTATTATATATCTGTAGGTATATGTGTATGCACAAATTAAAACGAAACTATAGACTCAATAACTGCCTAAACTGTAAGCTTGATACAAACGCTTGGATTATAATATTCATAATATTTACGTTAGACAAATTTATAAAATAATGCAAAAGCGTCTATCAATTTTGATTTGTTTGTGTGTCCGCTTGTTTATATATAGTATATATATGAAGGTAAATAGTTGAATTGTATTTTTATATTTGTTAAATTAGTTTCGAGTGTTTTATATGATGATCCGATTTGCTAATTATGGCAACAATTTGTGCGCGTATTGACACAATATGAAAAATATTGAATTTGTAACATATAGGCCTATTCAAGCGACGCAGCATATTATATTTGGTAACTATGTATGTATGTGTATGTAGGTGTCCTGCAAGCCAAGTTTGTATCGCAATGGATTTTTGTCATTTTGCTTTAATAGAAGCTGCGCAGCAATTTTGTGATGAATCAAAACCGTTAGCTGCGACCGGTTGCTGGCGCCAACTCCACACCTGAGACAGTGACCGTCTCCTCGGCGCTGCTCTGATGCTGGACACCTCCCAAGGTAATGGCGCGCATATGATGGACTGGCCGTATCGATTTGAGCTGCGTTGTGCCCTTGAAACGCACATTAACGTCCCCGCCCACCTGACTGAGGGGATGCATGGGCTCCGATACAAGATCCAGGGTAGTGACTGTTTGCGTGGTCACGGGCTTGGCGTCTTCAACAGGCGTCACCGCTGGGGCTGTGGTAATAGGTCCCCCAAAGCTCTGCCGATGTGCAAGCGGCGACAGTGCTGTGGGTGTGGTCTTATAGCCCATGCGACTGAAAATGCTGCCGGTGGTGGTGGCGCTGCCTGTACTGCTGCTGCTGGTACTGCTTGCATTGCTCGACGTACTGGGAGGACTAAGGGGCGTTCCCACACCCGAATCCACTTCCATGGGACTCTTGATGTTCGCCATAAACTTATCCACATGCTCGGGCAGCTTCAGTTCGTCCAGCTTCGCCTGCATTGTCGTACGTGTGCTGACATCGTCTAGCAATCGATTGGGTCGCTGTTGTTGCTGGGGCTGCTGCGGAGACTGCGGCTGGTGCTGGGACTGCGCCATTGCCAGTTCCGCTTGTCGCTGATTACGTGTGGGTGATATGGAATCGGCATGGTTGACGCTAGCATGGTGATAGCCATTGTTGCGTTGCTGCTGACGCAACTGTTCAAAAAAAGGTGTCTTCTCCTTCTTCTGCTTTTGTGGCGAACCATGTTCGTCTCTTTCGCTCAACTCTTCGAGGACCTTGAGTGGAAACCCCAAGTGACTGTTGACTGAGATCGATTTGCCAATTTTGCGCTCGGCAAATATAGGTTTGCGTCGCTGACGCTCCAGATCGTCCAGCTGCTGCAGCATGCGTCGCACATCGCTGGGCAGTTCCAGCTCCGGATTATGTTCGACTAGTTGTCCCACATAGCGGCCCAGCGTCTGTATGGTTAGCTCCAGCGATTGAACTTGGGACTGTAGTGATGTGATTTGCATTTGCTGGGACGAACGCGTGGTCTCCAATTGAGCAATGGATGATTGAGCGAACTAAAACATACAAGGAGGGCATTCGTTAATCAAAATAATAAACGTGACAAGACTTAAGTATGCGACTTACCTGCAGCTGCTGTTCGAGATGCTGATTCTGCACCTTTTCGCGGTTCAGCATTTCCAAATGATGATTTGTCGTCGTAATCTCTTCTTGCAGCACATTATACTCGACATTATATTCGGTTAGCTGCTTGCCAATGTCCAACGCAAAGACTCGCTTCATTATATGTTCCATGCAGTGTGGCTCAATTTTGGGGACCACAGTTTTCAGATAGTCCATGATTTCCTCGAAGTTATCGCGGGCCAACAAATCATCCTTATGCTCTGAGAGCAGAGCAATGGCAAATTTAAAGATCACATCCGAAGATTCCAAGAATAACAGATCAAAAATACGCGCCACAAATCCCAAAGGAAACTGTGAGCTAAAGACAGTCAGAATCCAAGGTGCAGCGTACAATGTGGGAGACACATCGTTCTGGTCAAGCCACACATACAGATCAGGCAAGTGATCCTTCACCAGGCGAGAGAGCTGATAGAGCTGCAATTGGAACTTCTTCATGTCCGGCAGATATTTGGTGCGCATATTGCGACGGAACATGAGATGCTTGAGCAGCTGGAAGGCATTCGCCTCATCGCACTAAAAGAGGAGAACAACATTTGCGATTAATATATTTTTTGGCATTCGTGGGACAACGCATTTAACTTACATGCAGCAGCAGCACACCGCATATGAAACCCAGACCTTGGCAATATCCCAACTCCGGATCAAGTATAGAGTAGGCCTTCAAAAGATTGAACAACGATAGCTGACCCAAGCCCAACGGATCCTTATAGAACTGATGGTTGGGAAACGTGCGACCCAGATCAATAAAGATGGCATGTTGATGTTCGGTGAGATTCTTGAGCAGCATATGATAAGGTGTATTAAAGTTGGGAAACTTTTTCGTATCGACTGGCGCCGTATTCATGGAATGCTGCTCTGCCAGGAAGGTCCATACATCGCCACGCTTTGAACGCGGCACACCAGTGCGTATGGCATGGCCCAGCACCTTGGGGTCTCTTCGATTGCCGATTTGGGTCGAGTTCCTTTCAATGATTTGCTCCCAGCGCTCAATCAATTGCTTATCGCAGGGCACTATTTCCTCATAGTCCAGCTTGATCCGCTTCAGCTCGTTCTCGTTCTGTCGCGCTTGCAGCATGGCATTCTCGGTTTCCATGCGATTTAGCATGATGGTCTGACGGATGGCTGTTCGCCAAAGTTCCCGCAGCTCTTCCGCGTTGCGCTTACCACGCTTGGGAGCTACATATAAAGAGAGGTGGAGATGGAAGGTTGCCAAGGTTCCCATTTAGGAATGATAATTTCAACTTACGTTTCCGCATTGGCGAGAGAAACTCGGTAGGCGTTTCGCCCTCTAAACCTTTGGAAGGTGTCACCACACTATTGAGAATTGCCTGGCGCCAGGAGCCCTGATGTGTTTCCGCCTCCTTGGGGCTGTTGCCAACCTTGATAAAGCTTCGCATGTAACGAAGAATTCGAATAAAATAGATATACTTCCAATTAAGTAACCACTTACATATCCATCATGGGGCTCTTGAGCTGCTCAGCGCTTACAGGCTTACTGGGACTAGCGCCCACGGTATTTGATCGAGATCGAAAGCCTTCCGGTGGCGTGTCGTTGCCGCTACTCGATTTTTGGGGCTCGGCGGAGCTTTCTCGTATGTCACGCAAGTTGTGCGAGGGCACAGCAATATCGTCTTTTGAGGGTTTGCGCTTTAGCAGATGATCGAAGGAGTTGGTCAGCGAACGCTTGGCCTTCATGAAAATAGTGCTACCGCCAAGATATTGGTTTAAGAACTCTGAACGGTTCTCAGCGGTGTCGTGCACGTGTCGCTGTTGCCTAGACTCGCAGTGCGCTCGCAGCAGCATCATCAGGAACTGATTCTGCTCGGCCACCGGAGAGTTTGTCTTCTCCGAGCCGCAGAACTTGGCCCAGACTATGTCCTGTTCGTCATCGCTAAGCGTTTCAATGCGACGTAAAATCATTGTCTGCGTCTTCTTATCCGACAAGTTCTCGACATCGGTGCAGAGCTTGTGATACCAGAGCATGGGACAATGCTCGCAGGAGAAGATTTGAGTCTCCTGCTTCTTCTTCTGCTCGGCACAAGTATCGAAGGCTTGGGCAATGGCTGCCACAATATCATCGCACACATGCTCCGACTGACATTTGAACACATAGCCAATGTAACCCTCGTTGTTCACCTCGCGGCAAATAATGCCGAAATGATCCAGAGCCTTCTGACCATGCACACAGCTGGCTACATCTTTGAAGTCCTTGTAGAGCAGCACCTGCTTGCGGTCTGGAGAAATGAGGCGCAAGTCGGAACGACCAACCAAGAAGACCATTGTGCGATTCTGTTCAGCATAGGGCGGTATGCAGCCATAGGAAGCGGAGCGATCCCGTTGCTTCGGTATGCTGTAATAGATTGAATCATTAGCTAAGGTTCGAACTTGTACTGGTAAAGAAACAGTGCACTGTGAGTAACGCCATTCAACATAAAACCCATCAACATGATCTTCCGATTTCTGCTTACTGCCAGATATATAACTAAGTCATTCGGAGTGCTACTTTGTTGGGGGTTATGTCATGAAACTATAATAGCTAGATGGGCATGCAAAAAGGGGGAACGTGTCGTTATCGTCAAACTCAAAAGAACAAACAAAGAACAGCTAAGAACATGCGGCAGCCAAGGCGCCACTTACTTCTCCAGCCCATAATTGGGATGCAGCACCGAGGAGTGACCGCCACTGGTTGATTGTGGCTGGGGTTGTGCCTGCGTTTCTGACTCTCTGGGCGGGGTCGGGTGCTTATTCACAATGACAATCGGTCTGGATAGTGAGTCCATTTCATTTTCCGTTTCCTCCGAGCCGCTGGCATCGCTAGACTTGCCAGCAATGCTGCAGCGGGAATCAAGATAAGTTTAGAAAGTTTTATGATGCAGTAGACTGCCTTTGAGAGAAAGAGATAAAGACAAAATAAAAGTTGTTTTACTTACTTCTCCCTGTGTCCCAGCTCGATTTGGCTTTTGCCTCGTAAAAGAGCACGTGGTGGCGATTTATTTTCCTTATTGTTCTCCTCCAGCAAGGGACGAGGGGCTGCTCCCGCTTCTGTTGTTGTTAACTGCAGTTCAACGACGCTGCTTTGCGGCTGGAGTGTGTGAGAGCCGGTCTCTTGCTCCTGTTCCTGATCCTCTTCGTCCTCCTCTTTAACGTCGTGACTCTTAAGTGTGCTGCTGCCAATACTAGTCTTGGCCGCCTCAATACCAACGCCTCCCTCGCTGTTCAGCGACATCTTGCGGTTCTGCAAGAGGCGCAGACGTTGTGCATCATACGCCTTGAACTTGGGCAGCGCATCGTCAATAAAGGAGTTGGGAACATGCTTCTGTGTGACGCGTATCTTTCCCACATACATGACCTCAAAGAAGTGCGTATGATTTGGTGATATGTCCGCCAGTAGTGACAAATTACTCTGCGCCGAGGTGGACGTGGGAATGTGTACCGTGCCCGCCGAATTGCTCAACCCATGCGTATACGATTTGGAGGACTTCATTTTGGAGCTTATCAGATTGGGACTAGCATCGTGTTGGGCATTGCGCAGAGCCTCAGTCAACTTCAAATTTGTTGCTGGGGTTGCGTGAATCCCATTGAGTGCTCCATGCGAGCTGGAACCACTGCCACCACCGCCGGCGCCTCCAATCAGCGTTTGCGGAATACTGCCCACCGAACCGCCGAGCGTATGCGCCGGATCGCGCATTTGGTGCATCAGCTCGGCCATCTAAAAAGAAAACCAGAGTTAAGCAGATTAAGCAAAGACTAAACGAATCTTCCACATTTGCGGGAGTTAAGCAAAACTGCAACATGCCATAAATCAGATAAAAGTACAAGCGTCCCATTCAGTTAGATGGCTCAATGCGGGGACTCTATCAGTTAATGCCGTTAGCAATACAGCTTTATTTTGTGGCCAGATTACAGTAATATCTGGTGTGCTCTTTCACCTCTTCCCTTTTGCCATTCCGCATCTTATGCTCAATTTTAATGGCCTCTTCCGACTGTCGTCTGTGCTGACTTTCCTCGGCCAAACACTTCCTGCCATCCTGGATGGATGGCTGTCTGGATGGTTAGCTGCCTAGCTGTCATCATGAAAGTTTATGACTTTTGTCTCAGTTTATGACAGTTTTTATGTCTCTGCCACTTAAGGGTGTGATACGTAGGGATTGCCTGGCATTCACATAATGCAGACATCAATTTCGAGGCGTATTTGTTGCAAATTCATCTTACATGCTTTTATGAATTTGGTCTAAAAAGTTTGTGTTTTATGTCCCTTCAACTATAAATGTTTAAAGTTCAGATACGCCAGCAATCAAATTTGGAAATGATTATTTATTATGTCTGCATCGTGATATGCGGAAATTGACTTAATCTTAGGAATATCTAAGAAACGCAGTCAATTTCAGTTTACTCTGCTAAGAATATTTTTGAGCTCGAAACACAGCGAACGAAACCAGATAATTCAGCTGGCTGCGAGCTTGTTGAAGCTTTTTATTCACAGAAGATAATTAATAGATTTGAAGCAAAAGGTTATAAATTCATTTCTTTGGTTTCTTCAGCTTGAACAATCATAAGGAATTTCTCACTTTTTTAATAAAAGGTAGCTAAGGCAAACCTATCATTAATCAAAAACACTAAGAGATGGAAAACGCAATTTTAAGTTTTTCATAAGCAAAAGTCCAGTAAGAAAGATAAGCCGTTTGTACATTCTCTTAGGTGTAAAAGACATAGTATGATAATTATGACTGTATGACTGTCCGCCTCACTGAATGAAAGCATGGATTTTGAAAAGATCTGCGTGCAGAGCTATCAAGAGATCAGGTTGTAGGTTCTGGTAGTGTGTGACCATTTGCTTGATTTCCTAAACATGAATTAGTACTCTTCAAAATCATATACGAATACCATTAGTATAAGTTTGGGGATATTTTAAAACATTATCTAATACTATAAATTATTTTCTTTCATTGCACGCCCAGACTTCGTGTCGTCCCCTAGACCATACCCAGCTCAACATTTGCAATAGAAAATTACAGCAAATATGGTGTATACACATATATACTATACTTGTTTAATAGATATACCTATCAGCTGGTCAAGGCGTGATGCCACCGGCGTACATTTTCTCTTCAATGCAAGCTCTTGGCCAACAAGTTTTCATGAAATTACAAAGAGCCGCTGCGGTTTCTCTGCTCTTTATGTGTGGCCTGATGCCTAATGTCTGATGCCCTGCCCTCGCTGCCCTGCGCGCTATAACATTGAAAATCTGCCAAATACTGCTGCTGCTGTGGCTGCGGCTGCGGCTGCTGTGATTGTCCGTTGCCAGATTCCCAAAATGTCCAATGTCAGGCCGAGTGCATGCAGCTGTCTCTTTGTATCTTCGAGATACACACAATTTACTGTGCCGGCAACTAATTGCCATTTATCAGCACGGCGAACTTTTAGACTTTATTTAGTTTTCGTTTTCAGCATTTTGTAAAAATAGAAACGCGAGAATTCAAAGAAGAATCCCCCGACTCATTTCATTCCCTCATTTTGTCAATTGATTTGGGTGTTTGGCGGTATTGAATGCTCTTCACTGATCAGTCGGCTGCTGTGTGATCGTGACGTCATTTGGCCCGCAAGCCAAATATGATTGGATCCATTCTAGTAGTACATACATGCACATACTCGTATATACAAGTATGTACATACATACATATGTGCGCTTGACTACAGCAATGCGTGTGCCTTTTTATTGAATTCAAATTATGAAATGCCGCCGAGAAGTATTCGCTTCTGACTTAACACTCGTGTTTTGTAGTCGCCAGAAATGTATATTTTGTTTACGTGCAACAACATAAAGGCTAGCAACAACAAAAATTTCCACTTTAAAGACCGCTACATAAATACAAACATACAAGTATATACATAAATAATACAAATAATGCTTACAGGAATTAACTACAACGTCACGTTCGTCTCGCGTTTTTTGCGCGTTTCTCTTTAACTTTTTCTACATTTTGCATTTACGTGCGATCAACTTTTTATATATTTGTGGCGACAGCGCCGCATTATACATATTTAATGCAAAATCGACAGTATTTGAACAGGGCAAGGAAAAAATTAAAATACAAATCGACAGCAATAACAAAAAAAACACAAAGTCAAATTACAGTAGAGCGCGAGGCCATTTACAAGCGACTCACAGGCGATTCGCCAGCGATTTTTATACCCTGTACCCGTAGGGTAAAAAGGGTATATTAGGTTTGTGCAAAGTATGTAACATACAGAAGGAAGCATCTCCGACCCCATAAAGTATATATATTCTTGATCGGCATGACGAGAGAAATCGATCTAGACATGTCCGTCCGTCTGTCCGTCTGTCCGTCTGTCCGTCCGTCTGTCCGTCTGGATGAACGCAAGGATCTCAGAAACTATAAAAGTTAGAATAACCAAAGTTGGTATCCAGATTCTCCTATGTCCGAGAAAGGACGAGTTTATTTTTTTTTTTTAATTTTCCCCCCCTTCCCCCGATACAGAATTTCGTCAATAGCGTCCACATTTCAAATGCTACCTAAACCAAACTTTGCACACATAATTTATATATAATTGTCTACTGTTGTTCAAAATTTTATTCAATTCGGTCAATTCTAAGAAAAGTTATTAGCGAAACAAATTCTCGCCAGTACAACCCCCACAAACTGCAGCAACAAGTTCGCTCTTCTTCTTCCTCTTTTTGTTGCTGCTATGGGCGCATATAACTCAGTGACGGAAGTTTACCTGGGTACAGAGTATTACACTGTCGGGCTTGCTCGACTGTAGCGTTCTCTCTTGTTTCACTAGCGATTCTGTCGAATGTTGGGTGCTGGTGATGGCGTCGCCGCTTTGTCTGCCACATGTCCTTCACAAAACTATTTATTACGCCCTCTTTATGTTTAGGGGTATTGTTAATTTAATGGTGAACAAAACAAGCATGTGCAGAAATATTTTGTACAATATTTATTTATATACTTGTATTAACTGATTTCTATCTGATTTTTTATATTCAGAACCAATTTGTGGACCTTTTTATTTTATATCTCTGCAACTGTTAATATTTTAGCTTTTCTAATTGTTTTATCATTCAAAAGCCAATTTGAAAATCTAGTCGAATACGTACACAAATGAATCACTTTATTTTGTGGAATATACATATTCTTTTTTTGGTGCAATATATTCGTCTTTTACTATTTACTATAGTTATTTATTAATACAAATTTCAAACGAATATTCATTATTAAATCTAATGCTTTCATAATGCACCTTTCTGTCCCAAAGATAGTTCATACATTTATTGGAATGTTTACAAATTCTGTTTTTTATACCCTGTACCCGTATGGTAAAAAGGGTATATTAGGTTTGTGCAAAGTATGTAACATGCAGAAGGAAGCATCTAAAGTATATATATTCTGAATCAGCATGACGAAAGAAATCGATCTAGACATGTCCGTCCGTCTGTCCGTCCGTCTGGATGAACGCAAGGATCTCAGAAACAATAAAAGCTAGAATAACCAAAGTTGTCATCCAGATTCCCCCCCCCCCCCCCCCGTTCCCCCGCTACAGAATTTCGTCAATAGCGTCCACTATTCAAATGCTAAACCAAACTTTGCACACATAATTTATATATAATTGTCTTCTGAAATTTTATTCAATTAGGTCAATTCTAAGAAAAGTTATTAGCGAAACAAATTCTCCCCACCAACAACCCCACCAAACTGCAGCAACAAGTTCGTTCTTCTTCTTCCTCTTTTTGCTGCTGCTATGGGCGCATATAACTCAGTGACGGAAGTTTACCTGGGTACAGGGTATAACACTGTCGGGCTTGCTCGACTGTAGCGTCTCTCTTGTTTTTTTTTTTAAATTCATTGAGTCAGGGAAATAAAAAGGAAAATGTTACTTTACATATTTCTTTTTTTTTCAGTCATGCTGATTCAGATTAATCTTGGCATTTTCCATCATCTATGTATTCTTTCGTTCGAAATGTTTTACGCATTAATTATTTAGGAATTTCACCCAAATAGTAATATTTGTCAATGGTCTTATTTGTCATAATGCTTGAAATGTTTTTTAATGGATTCTTTAAGACTTTTCTAATGATTTTTATTTTCACTTTAAGATATACTTTTCTCAAATTCCGAAACTGAGCTAAAACAAATTCATTTCGCTCTGAAGTAAAAACCTAACTGCTTCTGATTCTTTATAATAAAATGAAACCGCAATGTCTTTGTTTTACCATAAAATAGTCTTAAGACATTTACATTCCGTTGATTTATAATTTTCTATAAAATTCAGAACATCGTAAAAATATGGCTTTATATTTGTAATCGGTGTTATTTAAAACTTAAGTTGCATCACTGATTGCATTGCCGCGATTTGCTTGTACACTTGTTTAAAATACTGTCAATTACGATTGTTTTATTTACAAAACTCCCTCTGCAATATGCAACTGTCTATCAGTCTGGTCTGGTCTGCTCTGGAATGTTATCATATACTATATTTTTTGCATTGCATATTTGATGCCCTCTGAGAGCGATTTTAATTTAGTCTTTTTTGCGTTTTCTCTTGATGTAATTTAAAAACTGTCTGCACGTTTTGAATAACAACGCCACTTGCATTTTAAAGAGGAATTGGAAGGCGCGTTTGTTGAACCTCGTAGCTGAAGTTTATTGGCTGTTTATTACAGCAAAGATGGATACACATACAAACTCC